CCCCCCAACAAAAAAAACAAAAAAAACAAAACAAAAACAAAAACAAACAAACAAACAAAAACAAAACAAACAAAAAACAAACAAAACAAAACAAAAAAACAAACACACAACTGGATTTAAGTTTGACCGAATTTAAAGAATTCTAAAACGCCATAAAAACTTTTATTTGAAACCCTCAAGTCACATAATTCAAATTCAATGTTATACAGTTTCTTTTGACGTGTGTCGTCATACCCAAGGCCGACAACTATTCATCAGTCTTGGGTCATACAAGGAACTCTATTTTTGAGCAAAATGTGACGTGAACCCTTTAAAAGTTTCTGACCCCTTCAATAACAGTTAATATAATTCTTGGCTGTCCCAGAATCAGCCTCACCCCAGAGGATCCACGCTGGGTCGGCGCGTGGTGGATTGGCGTCGTAATCTCCATGGTAGCCCTTATCTTCATCGCTGTGCCGTTTGCTGCCTACCCCAAGAGGCTACCAGGTTGGTAGAGAAATAAATGGTATTGGTTTAACTTTCCTTGCAATACTTTGGGATCTCTAAATTTAATGTCCATCTCCGAAAGGTCCAAGCCAAACAAGAAAGCAGTGCAGAGTGCCTTTCCCAAGGACACAACTTCGGTCCAAGTTTAGAAGATTGCTTTAAAGCACGGACGGTATGCTCTTATAGCTAAGATGGCTATACCAAAGGTATAGATGCAGTAAATGTTGAATGGTTGTGTGTAACCTTATGAAACCTCAAAGACTGACAACAGTACGCTCAGTACAGGATATGTAGCTAGGCAGGATAAAATTTAAAGTTATGCTTTGAAATACTTTCATTTGAACGCGATTGCCTTCATGATCATAAAACATTTTAAATTATGTTGATATCTTCATTGGATAAAAAGCTATGGCGATTTTTCATACCTAAAATCCATCCGCCCAATAAAACGTCAGTAACGCGAAGTCGTATGCCTTCCTGGTTTGATTCCCCGAACAGGTCATTCTGGAACTTGGATTGTTTAGGGAGTGTGTAATACTCTCCATACACAGTCATCGAAGTTGTCAAAGACGGTCAGACGTTTTGTAGGAGAAAAAAGGTATCCAAAACAATCACCTGCTCCCTACTTTCATCACTGTGGGTTTTTTTAAAATTTTTTTTTTTTTTTTAAACGGTCTTCAAGACGTCCACCTGTCATAGACAACCTTGAACCACTGTTTTTCTCAACAGTTGATGGTCGTTTTGAACTGTTTTGACTGTCTTGGCTAGATCCAGTTGAAGATGGACAATAAACTCAGAGGTCTAAAT